AGACGAGTAAGTGTATAAATATACTGATTAAAATATGATAAAGATATTTATAATTATATGTTTATCATCACTTTTATAGAACATTAAAGAAAACAAATTTATTTCGGATGCAAATACTTTTTAATTCAGAAGAAGAATTTATTAAAATGGAAGCAATGATGTTTGGTAGTTTAGCTGGCTCAACAAATCCAAATAATGTAAGAATTCCGCAAGCAACAATGGATGTTTTGGAGAGGAATGAACATCCAGAAGATACATTACATATCGCCGAGGGTGGAATGATTTCTATAGAAGAGCACAGAATGTTGTTACAATGACCGTGATTGAGGTCGACTTGCATTGAATGTAAGAAGTAATAGAATTTTCAAAGATCTATTTACGATCGCGTTTGGATTTGAGTATGAACTATAGCTCTCATTATTCATGAATATTAAAATAATATCTTTTTATATTTCAAAGGGTTTACAATTCGGGTTCTGATTTTCGTTTTATTTTATTGCAGTAAAAAATATGCATAATTGCGGTTTTAACTTTGGCAATATAATTCAAATGGGTTTTTTTTTTAGATGTAAGCAAATTAATATAAAAGTACCAATGCAATTTCAGGTGCAGAATATGGACATGGACAATATGGACCACTGGACATAGACTTTTGTGGAATATGTCTATATTGTTCATATTTTTTTTATTGGAAGTAGATACTTAGTCCAAATCAAGTAAATGCTTAGATACTTACTGATAGATTTGAATTGCAGAAATATTTTGAATAGAACGTAAAATACGAGCAAGGTCAAGACCAAGTTCAAGTAAAATTCTGAAATGTTTCGAAGAGTTTTGGGAAAGGAGATATGAGTAAGCCATAAATGCTTGCAAATTGGCCATTACTATACCAGCCTACAGTTTTGGAATAAGGGTTATTATACAAAATATGGCATGGACACTATTTGGATTAGTCCATGTCCAAATAAATTGTTTTTGGGCATAGTCCAAATGCCAACACTGCTGGATTGAATTATTTAAGCAAAAAAATGACAGGGAAACTTGGCTTAACCAAACAATAAAAAAAAAACAAATCTAGTTTTGGTATTAACAATAAAAAATTTCTGAGTATTAGCATTAGGTGTAGATAGGTATTCCAACTAAATACATAAATACATGCATCCAATTACAATTGTGATTTTAGGACTATAATTATGTTACTGTAATATAATACAATTATAGTTCTAGAATAGTGAATTGACCCGTCTAAAAAATCTCCACCCGGGTCACCCTTCGGGTGGACAATGTGCCACCCGGGTGAAAACAGGTCAGTTTACAGCTATTATCATAATTCATGGGACACCTGTGAAAATTTGCCGAATGATTTTTCGGCCGAGTCGGTTAAGTTCGTGATTTCGGAAATAATAGATTCAGTAACAGATAAATTGATATATCTGATATCAGATATGTACGTACGTACGTACGTACGTACTTATTAAAAAGCAGATGACTAATATAAATATTACAGTATTATAAGACTATGCATATCTCTAGTTAAATACAAAATTATGATACTTTCAAAGCATTTTCGCTGGTAAAGAGTTAAAAAAAATTTAGAAGTTCGAAAAATTGCCAAACACTTAGGTGTTAGTAAGTCTTCTACAGGTCGGTTTCTCAAGCACTTTCAAAGATATTGAAAAACTTCCATCATTTTCAAGAAACCACATTTATTAAACACGAACGATATAAAATATCTTAAAACTTTAATGAAAGAAAACCTTGACTGTTATTTGTATGAAGTGCAATCCGAAATGGAACTTTAGTTAGGATATAAAATTAGTCGTATAAAAATTTAAAAAATAATACATTCGACTTAGATATACACATAAAAAAGTATTTATACTATATATATTTTTTATACGTAAATTTAGATCCGTGCCTTTTTATATTTCTTGTTAAGGTTTATTGGTTGACAAGAATAATTTTATCATAAGTATTCGTACAAACTAAACACACTAAACATTTCGGGAAAGTATTCAAACGAAAATTTAATAACGTTGAATATGTCGATATTATAAAAATAAAATTATCTGTAGAACAAGTACGATATTACATGTAATATAAAAAAATATATTTTTTATATACCGATCATGCCGAAATCAATAACTTAACCGAGTCGGCCGAAAAACCATTCGGCAAATTTTATCAGGTGTCCCAGGAATTATGATAATAGCTGTAAAGCAATTATTATTATGCCGAAATAATAAATTAACCGGATCGACCGAAAATCATTAGGCTAATTTTTTTACAGGTGTCCCAG